TTACAACATATTTTGGTAAGATTGGGAGAATGTTACAAATAGGACAATGAGAATACAGAATAGCTTTACAAATTACATAGCTTTTCGAAGACTTGAACTGATTCAACCTCCACAGAACTGCAAGGCCAAACTTTCATGTAATATGGAATATTTTTCAATAGAACCACTGAGAGCAAGGCATTACATATGCCAGCAAAAGAGTCTTTCTTTAATCTAGAAGTGATGTAACCTGTTGCATTAGGCGACAACTGATTCTATTCAAATTGTCTAACGTAGCAATTACTAGTCCATATCCTTTACCTTTTAACATTGGTTGTGGCTTTCTCTAATTTTAATGCCAAGAGTGCTTCTGGACAGAAACCATATGACAGGAATGTGGTGTCCAAAAGCAACGTCACATAGTTTGATACGATTAAATTTAGCCAAAAGTTAAACATGAAATCCAGTTATTTTCCTCTGTCTTCAGAAGTTCAGCCTTTAATCACAAAATAACATTGAGAACATGGTTAGGATTTCAACTATTGTCTGAGGAATTTTGTTTGGATTAATTTCAAGAGCTTGGAGATTATCCAAGTAGAACTGCATAGTAAATTTGCGCTAGAGCTTTTGCCTCAAAATCTTTAAGGCAACTGGAACAAAATGGCATTTCTAGAGCAGAGGCTGTGTCAAAAGATGACAACTCTACGCTGAATACTTGGACCAAAGTCTTAGGATGCTTTTTGCAGGATCCAGAATGTGTAAATCAGTCTCTGGGTTGTACTGATTAATTAAGCTGATTTATATAGTTGCCCAATCAGATATAACTCAGGGCAGGGTAGAGATAAAAAATCAAGTATAAAAATAACATCAACATTAAAAACATTGAAAAAGAAAATATTGTACACTAAGCAACTTTGCACAATCCAAACCAACCAGAGTAATCAAGACAGACATAACCCCTTCTCACCCAACGTGTAGGGGGAAAGCCAGGTCTTAAGAGCCTTCCTAAAGGCAAGTAGGGTCAAGGCCATCTGAATCTCAGATAGTCAGAACACACAAGGTAACAGAGAAGGCATGTCTCTTGGATCCCACCAGAAGATACTGTTTAAGTGGACATAAAACATGCCCATTTCGTCACATTTTGTCAAATGGACAGACTGTTCTGCAGATAGGCAGGTCTTCTGCCATAAATTTATGACCACAGTCAGTTCATCTGGGCTTGCACACCTGAAGTCCAAGTCAAAGTGAATCTGAGCAGCTCTATCTAACAGATGCCTTGAATAATCCTGATAGCAGCTCTGACCCATCTCTCAGCTTAAACAAGACATATGGCAATCATCAGACACAATAAGAGTAGAAAATTAACTATGTTTTGCAACTCTGATTACATGGCTGTTACCCATGTTTGGTCAGTTTAACTCTGTATTCTCCAGTGGCATTCTAGGTATCTCTTCTGCTCCTTCATCTACCAAAGGCCCTCTGAAAACCAGGAAACCCTCCAGAATCCACTTGCAGCTTTAAAATTAATAAAAATCACATGCAGGAGCCTTTGGGGATACTGGTATATTTTTCAATTAGATGTTGGAGGAATATACAATGATCACTTTTGAGAACTTGTGTCTTGCACACAGACAACACAATGGAATGGTATTATATTTTGAAGTAAATGCAACATTTACTGTGTATCTGTGAGGTAAATCTGAAAACATTATGAGATCCATACATACCTGTGACGATGCCACCTCCTTGCAGCAACCTCTTTGCTGACTGTATTGTTAATCAGAGTCATAACTATTGACACATCCAAATATGAGTTACAGAACAGAACAAATTAAAGTATCACTCCTCAAGTGTAGGATATCTCTTAGTACTTATAAATTAGACATTGTTATCTTAATGAAAAATAAACATTAATTAGCATGTTGCTGAATTATTGGAGCTAGAACACATTATCCCTTCTTTATAAAAGTAAAATAATATTGCATGACCTAATCATTATGAATCTATTTACACTGTACTATTCAATGCTTTACGTGTAAAAGTGCACCAAGTTAACATTTTAATAAAGCCAATGGATACTTGATTTTTATTCATCAATATTTCAGGTAGTTTTTAACATTCTGTTCAGAAACATATCAGAAAGGCAAACAGGGAAGTATATTTATATTAAGGATATGCAGTACATAAGAGGGATCTCTCTGATCATATTAAAAAATATTTTTCAAGTAAGTTCCTGGATAGCCTGCTTTGATTAATCATTAGAAATGCTTACCTAGAAATTAACGATACTGGTTTATTACCTATACTGACTTTGTAACGGATGGCCAACCTCTATTGGTGTTTGGTGATAAGAAATAGCACAGTCTCAGCATTTGCATTTTTGCCAGAAATAAGATGACGGATCTTATAGCGAAGTTGCAGTAGGTACCGCATATTTTATCAAATCCATTTTTTCCCCCCTAGACTGGCTTCATCCAGTAGAGCAGAAATTGCATGATGGACAGCCTCAGCAAAATTTACTGAAAGAGCATAAAATCCAATTATGCAAAATGTCAAAAAACTGTTGTATTTCCAAAGCATTTCATTACAGCAAATATAAATACCTGACTTCATTTTTGAAAAAAAAAAATTGTATATAAGATTCTGGGATAATATGTTCAAGCTAAAAATACTATTACCAATATGAATTCAGAGAATAGGAGTTCAGATGCAATTATTGGCTTCCAATGGACTGTAAAGACCTGGCTCTTTAGGAAAGAATTTGGGGAAGTTGGGGGTTTAGTCTACGTATAGGTGGTACTGCTATGGTATGTGGATTAGGAGTGTTTTATTGGATGAGATCATTTTGACCCTTTATATGATAACAATTATATATAAAATACTGTATTAGGTATACGATACATAAACCAACATTTACATATCACTGTTTTCAGTAGTCTCCTTGTACGCAACTACATCTGGACCCAACCTCTGTGTTTCCAGTCTTTGAAGATCATGTTGTTAAACTGGTCTGTGTATTGCCTGTGGATCAATTTATAATTGACTTTATAAAAACATGGAAATTCAAATGACTTGTACATGGTTTATAATTGCTTTTGGAGCATTTATATGGAGTTATTTTTACTATAGCTTCTTTTTAAAGTTAGATAACATCTCTGCTACTTTAATGGAATAGAGTGAGCTATCATTGCCCCTTCTAGTCATTTAGTTGCTGGGACAATGGATAGTAGGATTGCTTTCGAGATAAAAAAAACAAAAACAAAAAATAATTAAAATACTTTTAAAAATATATACTTTTCATGTTTATTCTTTATTGCAATAAGAAATAAGAGCAGAAGTGGCTACCAACATATATGGTAATAGCAAATTCCTCAGTAACACATCTACTCATGTCCAGTATAAAAAAAAAAAATGGAAGCAAACACTAATTTTGTAATATGGAACAATTACAAACAACAAAGGAAAACCGTGAGCTATGAGATCATTCTATAGTTAAACATGTTATAAGCAGCAGAAGGGAGTGATCACAGAAACTCTACAAATGTAAATCATATGCTGTGCAATATACTTTTTTGATTTTATTTATTTATTTATTTATTTATTTATTTCATTTATTCGATTTGTATAGCCACCCATCTCAAACCAGTGACTCTGGCTGGCGAACAATCATAAAAACAATTAAACAGTTAAAACACAATGCAAAAAAGAAATTAAATACAAATAGCAGCCAAGAGATATTACAATCTGTTGGTGTCAACATAACCAGGAAACAGGGCCCTTCACACACTTGGGATCCCAGGCCTGGGCACATAGCCAGGTCTTCAAGGCTTTCAGAAAGGCCAGCATGGTTAGGGCCATCCTAATCTCAGGAGGGAGGATGTTCCAGAGGGCAGATGCTACGGCAGAAAAGGTGCTTCTCCTGGTCCCCACCAGCCAACATTCCTTGGCTGACAGGACCTGGAGCATGCCCATCCTGCCAAACCAGATTGGACAGGTAGAAACAACTGGGAGAAGGTGGTCCCTCAGGTAACCCACTCCAACCCCATGTAGAACACGTTGCAGTAGTCCAAGTGGGAGGTCACAAAGGCATGAGTGACAGTGAGCAGATAAGCAAATTATTATTGTTGGTTGCACAATCAGCCAGATGTTTAGACTGGATTTGGCATTTTTATCTACCTAC